TCCTGGACATGCCAGAATCCATTGTCACCATCAAAATATTCTGATGTGCCAATTCTGGGAAAGACTGCGAAAATTGACAGGGTTTAAGGTAAGGAATTTTAAAAAAAATTATTTCCAATTTTCATCCTTGACATCCTGCAACAAAAATGTTTGTTCTAATTATATTTGAACTTTGTCACTTATTAATTGTAATTGATTTTATCATTTAATGAGATGGATTAAAATTAAGTGATTGATCACAAATTCAGATGTCTGGGTGTCATTAATCAATTGTTCTTTTGGATAAAGGAAAATATGTTCTCAATGTGCACATTTATTTATGATGAAAGAAACATGCGTGTAGGTAATCAAAATTTTTATTAATAGACAAGTATGGAGGCCATTGAGTTATTAATTCAATGTTTATTTATAATATAATAAGAACAGTATTCAACAACAAAATCCAAAGATGCATTAGTATAGTGGAAGATGCCTTACAAAAGCTAAGAAATGTCTTAAGAAAGTTTTGATAGAAACAAAGAATACAGTACTGAACTGTTATGTGATATTGGTCTATGCAGATGAAGAAGAGACTACAATTTCATCAGAGATGAAGAAGAGACTTGAAGCAACAGAAATATGGTTCTACAGAAGGATGTTGAGAATATCATAGACCAAACATGTGAGCAACTGTGAAATTTTAAAGAAAATGGAAACACAAAGGACACTTCTCCTTAGAATCAGAAAGTGAGAATTAAAATGTGCAAAGGGAATACAACTGATTCTGAGAGAATTTTAACTTAACTTGATGATTCCACTTTCTATACAGATAAATATTATGCCACCTGCACATTCATGCACATACACACAAACACATACACACACACACACACACACACACACACACACACACATATATATATATATATATATATATATATATATATGAAAGTGAACATTGAAGTCAACACTTAGAGAGGCGACAGGCTGTTTCATGCAAGATGTGATCGTCAGGCCTGAAGTGTTCACTTCAATGTTCACTTTTATATTTACACATGCTATATCTCTGATATTGAGCACTTTATCCCATAAGTATAGCACATCTTAAGAGTATATTTTTATATATATATATATATATATATATATATGTATATATATGAATAAAGTCAAAGGAAAACTGATCTTAGCATGTTTCATCCTCTGACAGACTTTATCAAGGCAAATGCAATGATTTTATTTTGTAACAAGTATTTATATACAAGAGTAAAAATGTTATTGGTTTTACAAAATTTTAAATATAAGTATGATCATAAATATTCATCAGGTTAACTGGAAAGCCTAGGCAAAGTTATGGTGGATACCAAGTGACACTAATAAACAAAAGTGATCTTCTTGAATTTTTTAATGCAAATTAGTATTTAAATTATTTTAGTTTGAAATTAATTTATGTGCTATATATTTTAAACCATTTTCTTTTAATTTTTGAAAATATTTATAGTCATGTATTTTGGCTTGGGAAAGTAGTAATTCTTTGAGGAAAGGAAATATTTTAAAAATCCATGGAATAGATTTATATTTTGATAAGTTTTGATAATGGCACTCTTGATAATTTTCCATCTAAATAAGTTACTTTCGCTTTTATTAAGTGTGGTATTATTTAGATCAAAGTTGTGATTGCATTTATTTCTATGTATAACTAATGCATTTAATAAATGGTTGTGTATAAGGTCCCATTTGTGTTCATAGATATGTTTTTTTTTAATTTCTGCAAGTTTCCACAATGTATTGTGAGTAGCAGTTCTAGTAATTTATTCTTTATCTACCTGCTTCAGAATTGTTACTGTTATGGGTATTTTTAGTTCTGATTATATCCATAATAGTTTTGGATGTGGTTGTAAATATATTGATGTTGTTTCGATTGGATAAATTGTATGGCTATTAGATGTTATGGAGTTGGTAGGTAGTATGATGTGTTTCTGTCTAGTTTATTGTCATTGTTGGTAATAATGGCATTATCTTTTTTGAGGTTCTATATAAATACTTATTACAACATAAAATCTTTGCATATATGGTGGACTCTCCTATCGTGAATGATAAATGAGGGACAGTTTTACCTTTAGTTATACACTTATGCATGCAAGCAGGGGTTATTGTGGAGAAAATCAGGCAAAGGAAGGACATATTTTATTTGTGCTTTCTTAAGTGTGATACTAGCCCAGCCTTGCTGTGGTTGACAAAGCCACACTGACAGATGAAATTTGTTAAAGTAGGATTTTGATGGCATCTCTGCTTCAGAGCTTGATCAAGCTGATCATGGTGCTTCAGTCTACTGTGTTCAAAACCCTTTAACTTAATGAAACATGTCTTATGCCACTCCTTTTAGTTTGATGCTTGGGCTTCCCAGCTTTACAGATGAAAGTTAAGATGTTTCAAGTTGTCTTTCAATTTATCTCTGTAGCGTAAGAGTGGACGTCCAACAGAATGCTTGGAGTTTGGTAATTGTCAGTACAGCACCTTTTTTGGAAGCCTATGCTCATCCATTCTCAAAACATGACCAGCCCATATAAGTTGTATCTTTGCTAGAATGGTTTCAATGCCTGTGGTGTTGTCACATTTCTTCAGTATTGCACTATTCTTGACCTTATCATCCCATTTTATATCACATATGGCATGGAGACAGCACATGTGAAAGGTATCAAGTTGATTTATGTGCTTGTGGTACAGGGTTCAAGTTTCAGCCCCATAGAGAAGGATAGAGGGAACGACTGAACTGTATATGCTGATCATTACTCTGAGAGACATGTCTTTGCATATGTGTGTGTGTGTGTGTGTGTGTGTGTGTGTGTGTGTGTGTGTGTGTGTGTGTGTGTGTGTGTGTGTGTGTGTGTGCATATGTAGAAGGATCAGTAAATTTGAAGGCTAATATCACATGCTGATATTAGCAGAATTCTGATCTGAATTTTTCATTATATAATGTTCAATCAATCTTTGAAGAAACATTAGAATATGTTTATTGACAAAGAAGGAGATTATGTTGAAAATAAATATTTGCATAAAATAAATACTCTTTTTCAACATTAGGCTGTAGGCTTAATGACGTACTTATATGCATTTAAATGCTTAGAAATATACATTAGTAATATATGTGTTGCTAATGGATATCATGAAAGATATATATTTTATATGGGATATGTCTGCATTTTTTTTTAATATATATATCCGAATACAAGGTTGGTATAGATGGAATAAACTTCCAGTAACCAAAAACTCTATTTTTAAAAAAAGTGCCAAATACAGAGTAGAGCAGATAATATTTATTTAAAAATTATAATGTTATAACATCACTACATAAAAATTATAACATGTTATAACATCACTACATAAAAATTATAACATGTTATAACATCACTACAAAAATAGCCATTTTGTTTCAACACTTCTGATGTCTTGTCAAGTGATTGTGTTGTGAGTAAAATAAAGAGATTTTACGTAAGATGTAATGGCCAAATATTTCTCCCAGTGGGGGTAGTGGTTGATTTATGAACTCTTTAAAAACTCCTTATTTTACATGCAACACCATCTCTTGAGAAAACACTAGAAGTGTTGAAATGGCTATTTTTGTAGTGATGTTATAACATACATATGTTATAATTTTTAAATAAATATTATATATATATATATATATATATATATATATATATATATATATATATATATATATATATATATATATATGCGTGTTTTATTCCTCACACACAATTCTGAGTTTCATACATGATGCAATCATTAGATACAATTGAAAACATAGATAATTTTACATCTTATTTCAGGTATATGAAAGCATGATTTCTTTATTAAAACTTTTAAATACCCAGGCTGGTAAACACAGTTTGTAAAACACAGATGTCTAATCAAACACATTCTAAGCAATCTAAGGATTATTTTCAGGAATAATTTATCACTATTATTGAAGCAAGGCTACACTAAACTGAAAATGTTACACTGAAATATAAGTAAAAGTTTGTCACTTAGCTGAATGATGCTACCTTCAGCATCTTGACCAGAGTTTTATTGGTGGACCTGTTTGCCCACTCTTCAGGGCGAATCAGCAATTTGCTGCTTATTAGAAGAGAGAGAGAGAGAGAGAGAGAGAGAGAGAGAGAGAGATGCACATTTACAATGTAAGACTTGAATTCTTTTGGGCTTTAAAATAGTTAAGTAAGTCTTTAGAAAATGAAATGTTAAGTATTACTCTTATTTGAAAATGTTACCTACTTTCATAAGTAAATTGTTGACATATAATAGATTATAAGTAAGATGCTTTGTCATTGGCTTTTGATATTGTCGAAGGACTGTGTGTGTTTGTGTGTTGTCATATTAGAAACATGTGCATAACTCCTGGTAGAATATTAAAAGGTCCAACTACAAAAAAATTGTCAAACTTGAATTAAGTCCAACTGAAGATAAAGATGGCAAACAAGGCCAATATATATGTATATATAAACAAATATATGTATTAAAAAAACAATTTTACAATGGACATAAGCAATAACATTTGTATGTGTGTGTGAATATTTGTGTTTGTTTTTTGGTGAATGTTTGTACGTACATGTATGTGTATATAATGTTCATGGCATCTCCCACAAATGGGAAGACGCAGATCTTCTAATAGAGCTTATATTGTAGTCGCTGAAATGAAGAAATGAAAAAGAGAATGAGGCGAGAATTTGCCCAGTACTTATAGTATACAGAGAATGACCCCTAGTGACAATTTGGGAATTAAGGAGGAGCTAACTCCGACAATATTTCTTCTTATTTTTTTTTGGCAACAACTGTATTTATTTTTGGAGTGTTCTGCTTGCTTAGCCTATTTCTCTTCTCTTCTGGTTTTTCACCTATTAAAAATCTAAATAAAAAAAGTAAACCCAGAAATCCTTAAAATGGAAGAAAAAAGTGATATGTGTTTTGCTGCTGAAAAAATAAATTAATTTAAACTGATATTCCAGATTTTTGAAAAGTACATGTGTAAAAATAATAGATTTGAATAAAGGCAGGAAAAGAAAACTAGGGAGAAAGAGAGACAAAAAAGGAAGAATCAAAAGAGAGACAAAAAAGGAAGAATCAAAAGAGAGACTATTTTTTAAAAAAGGCATGTGCAGAAAGAGAGGGTGAAAAAAGAGTAGATGAACAAAGAGAGAATAAAGAAAAAGAAAAAGAAAAATTTTGAAAACTGTATGAAAGAAGGAATGAAAAAAAAATTATTGCATTTGGATATTCTTTGAATCTGGGTAGCCAATTAAATTCTGTGATGGGCAACTTCCCAAGTATGATTACCAGTGTTCATATTCCATCATATACATTTTAGCTGATTTTATTTATTAACTGGAATAAGAAAAAGGAAGGGTGGTTATCTCTCTCTCTTTTCCTCCTCACTCTCTCTCACTTTCCTCCACTCTCACTTTCTCTCCTCTGTTCTCTCTCTTTTTATTTACTCTCTTACTTTCTTTTCCCCATTTATATTCTGTTCTTCTTCCACATTTTCATTCTCCTTGTCCTTCATTGTTTATTTTTTTCTTTCCCTTAAATTTTTCTCAATCTTCCTTTTTTTCTTTTTTCCTATCTTTTATTAACTTTTTGCTTGATTCCTTTTCTCCCTTACTCACTTGATGGTTGCAAAGATTAGCATAGCGTGACACAATGCTATAGGTATGGAGCACCCAACAAAGATCAAACTCATTTCAGTAGGAAAGCTCTGTGAACAGTTGCTTTTCAGTTCTTTAAACATTAACATTTACTCATCTCAGATAAGTAAGGCACAAGGCTTCAAATGTGAAAAATCCAGTCAGGATGAAATTCACTATTGTAGTTTTAGTCTGTGAAACAGGCTTTCTTACTATTAACTTTTTTTTTACTCTTTCTTTTTCTATTGCTTCTTCTTTCTTCCTTTCTTTCATTTTTTTCTTTACTGCTTCTGTCATTTGTTTCTTTCATTCTTTCTCTTTCTTTTTCATTCTTCCAAACCTTCAGTTCTGTGCTTTGATTTTCTTTCTTTCTTTCTTTCTTTCTTTCTTTCTTTCTTTCTTTCTTTTCTCAAAGATCTCCTTCCATATCCCTTACCAATTTCAATATTTCACTCATCATCTTCTTATTTTTTCTTTATCTTTATCCTTCACATTCTTCATCTCTATCCTTCTCTTTCTTCTTCCTTTATATCTTGCTCTATCCTTATTTTCACTATTTACATTGTTCGGGCTGTTGTCCTCATCTTTGTTGCTATATTCACAATGTTTTGGCTGCTTTCATCAGGTGGTTGTAATTTTGAACAGAACCCTTCATTTTGTCCACTGGGGGCATATTATTCTAGTTCACATGCCATGCCTCTTTTGAATGTCTCAGTATCAGTTATAAAGCATTAGCTAAATCCAATGACTTGACCCAGGAGTTGTGAGTTCAATACCTGGCTCCAGCTGAAGTGAACAAAAACTTGGAGAGTTAAGTTAAAGGGAGATAACTGATACTGAGACATCTGGAAGAGGGATGACATGTGAAACTAGAACAATCTACCCTAGTGGATGAAATAAAGGGCTCAGTTTGAAATTCCAATCACCTGAAGAAGGCTGAAACTTAGAGTGACTGAAACATTATGAATATTGAAATGAAGATGAGGACAACTATCCGAATAATGTAAATAATGTGAATAATTACAATACCTTACCTCAGAAATATAGACAGTTCTCTATCCTTATCTCTCTTCTTCATCCTTTTCCTTCTCTTTCTTCTTAATCCCTGTCTCTGCCCTTCTCTTTCTTCATTTTTACCATTTCTTATTCTTCTTCATCCCTGTCCTTCCCATTCCTCATCCCTATCCTTCTCTTTCTTCTTCATCCTTATTCTTGTCTTTCTTCATCGTTACTGTGTCTTTTTTCTTCATCTTTAGCCTTCTCTTCATCTTCATCTTTACTTTTCTCTATCTTTATTTCTATCTTTCTTCTTCTTCATCCTTCTCCTTCTCATTAATCTCTGTCCTTCTCTTCTCTTTCTTCTTCATGCTTATCCTTCTCTTTCTTATTCATGTATATTCTTACCTTTCTTCTTCTTTATCTTCTTTCTTCTCCATCTATATCCTTCTCTTTCTTCTTCATCCTTATCCTTCTCTTTCTTCTTCATCTTTATCCTTCTCTATCTTCTTTATTTCTATCCTTCCTTTCTTCCTATCCTTCTTTTTCTTCTTCATCCTTATCCTTCACTTTCTTCATCTTTATCCTTCTTCATCTTTATCCTTCTCTTTCTTCTTCATCGTTATCCATCTCCTTCATGTGATATCAATTCTACAAGTGTTTCAATATCGCAAGCATTACATGGCCATCTTTCCACTTGAAGATTATAGAATCTCTTTGAATTTCTTGACAACAAATATCTCTTTGCAAGTAAAAGTATTTTCATTATTCCTTAATATCACTCTCTTGCTGTTTCTCTTTGGAGTGGCTGGCAGGGGTTGGATGACAGATAAGGGTTCCTTTTACAATATTTTACCTCAGCTTTATTGGTACATTCATTTTGCTGTTTAGTATTTTAAATTTATCAATGATACTCTTTGTAAAAGCTTGATTGAAAAACTGACCACTTAAGAGCTTAAACTACCCTATTTTTGTCAACAGCAATAAATTCAAGTTTTGATTATATGCTATGACATTTTTTGGCTCTCCAATTGAAACTGAATGATGAAGAGAGTTGCAGGGCACCAAATCTTAACAGTATAGTGGCTTATAAATCTGAGTGATATGATGTCTTGCCAAAATCCTGCACAAGACATGATGAATCAACTCCCCAGATTGTTTCAATGTGGCAATCACACAATATACAAGCTCATTCAATGATGTCTCACTGCCAGCTAAGTAACAGACTGGAGAAAGTGCTTGTTCATGCATGTACAGTAATGTATTCTCTGATTGGTGGTGATTTTCTAAGTATAACTTAGAAAAACTTAGGCCAAAATTATGGGTCATCCAATGATGATAAAACTCAGTTGTAATCATTCTAGCAAAACAAGCTTGTTAACCATTACACAATACCAAGGTGTCCAAGTCCTTTCTGACTGGTTGTCAAGTTCCGTTGAGGTTGCACAACATGTTGCCATAATATGTGAAATTGCTGGATATATTCTGGACAGATCTTGTATTTCTATGACATCCTTTTTGTCTTTATTTTCTTTTTCTTTCTTTTTTTTAATTTTTTTTCTTCTTCCATGTTTCTCTCCAGTTTCACCTTCCTTTCACCTTTTTTGTTATTCTTCATCCGTTCTCTCTTTGTTTAATTCTCATTCTTTTTTTCTTTTTTTCCACCTTCATCTTCAAGGACAGTTTTCAATTATCTCCCTTGTCTTCTGTCTCATTTATTCTTTTTATATTATTATTGTCTCTTATTTTTCTAAGAGCACTTTCTGTTTTGTCTTTCTTTTTTCTTCTCTCTCTTTTCTTTCATTCTCTTTCAGTAATCCTATATTTCCTTTCCTGCATTTTTATTAATCTCTCTTCTTCTTAGAGTATTGAAAACTGATGTTGCTTCATAAAAAAAATTTCTTTTCATTTTAAACAAATTTTTTACTCTTTTTTTATTTCTATAGTTTATGAATATTCGAGGCTGATCTACTTGATAAGTGTAGATATGCATAAACAAATGCATAATTTTAATGTATCATGTTCGGCATTTTTCTTCTTTTTCATGTTCCTTTTTATGGTTTGTTGTTTTAATATGTTTTGTTAATTTTTAACTTGTTTTCATATTGCTTTCATTTGGAATCAGTTCAAAGCTGGAAATTATTTTTAAGTAAAAATAAATAAATTTAAAACTCAATCAAACTATTTCCCAAATGTGAAACATAAAAAGAGTATCTATATCTATCACCATATATCTACATATCAGTTTATTTGCTAGCTTATATGAAAATGTGATACATATACATTCACACACATTTTTATATGCACACACACACACACATATATATATACATAAGCAATGAGAAATCCTGATGTATCTTTATTAGTTATATAATGTATCATAGGGTGTAAGTATATGTGTGTGTGTGTGTGTATATATATATATATATATATATATATATATATATATATATAGGAGGCATGGTGGAGTAGTGGATAGTGGCTCAAATTGAGGAATCGGAGAGCCGAGTTTGAATTTCAGTTAAATCCATTACATTCACTTACATGTTAATACCCTTGGGAAAGGTATTAAGCCTCTTCTTCTCCCTGCAGCTATGGGTAAATAGCAGGACAGACTGGGTTCTATAGCCTTGGATGGTAAAAGGTCTAGGAGAAGGACAACTCTTAATTCAAAATCTGCAGAAGGTTGTTTGGGGACCATGTGGCATTTAGTGCACCAGGTCTCTGTATTAGGCCCTTCAAAAAGTGTGGTTGGTTCTGCACAAAGCCTTCACCATTATAATCAAATCATATGTGCTGGTGTCTGGGATGTCAGTTCCTAGGAAGTGAGCTGCTTGACCTTCATATGTCAAATATGATGAGAGAGTCCACCATATATATATTTATATATAAGCATATACATATAATGAGAAATGCATGAGGAAAAATTAACACACCATAGACAACCCCCACCCTTAAAAATGGCTAAAGAAGGGAATAAAAGCACTTGGGACAATGAAAATTATGAAAAATTTTTGTACTTCCTTACTCCTACAAAATGGAAAAACATAAGGAGGCAGGAAAAACTATATATATATATATATATATATATATATATATTTATGTGTGTGTGCGTGTGTGTAAATATGCATATATAGTAATAGAACTGTATGCAATAGAAAAGATAAAAACCAGATGAAGAAATTGCAATCTATATATAGAGAACAAACAAAAAATCATAAAATTTAAATATGTAAATGGATTTCTAAACAAAAGAAATGAAATTATTATGAACTGTTGGCATGCCTCTTCATTCCTTTTGAAAATTGTGAAAAGGAACTATAATGCTCAGGATTGTTCAAGGGAAACAGCCATTTTGAAAATCTCAATGTGTGAAACAGACTGTTAATGGGTAAATAATCAAAAAAGGCTATTTTCATGTGTGCACATATATATATATATATATATATATATGTATATATATATATATATGGAATGAATTCCAATAACCAACAATTACTATTCTTAAAAGAGTGCTCAATACAAAGTAGAGCAGATCTAATTATTATTTATAAAAAAAAAATTATAACATAAATATGTTATAAAATCACTACAAAAATAGCCATTTATTTTATCTTCAACATCATCACTTGATAAGACACCGAGGGTGTTGAAACAAAATGGCTAT